CTTGGCTCGCTCCATGTTAACGATATAACAACTTCCACTATTGTTTTACAACAATAAATACTTCTGATAGTAAAAAGACATATTTTACCAACAGATTCCATGCAATATGACCCCATGCACTGCAATATTTCTTGGGAGAAGCTTCACAGACAGCATCCTGGCAGTTACTGCAGCAGTTGTTCATCTCCATGAAAAACATCCAGGCCAGGTGAGTGAAAGTGAAAAACCTCCTGGTTTTTGTTTGTTGTTGTTTTTTTTTTTTTTAAGAGCTCTGCCCTATGGTTCATTTTGGTTTAAGGAACAAAACTAGAAACTGTGGTTTCTAGTGGTTCCTCTCATTTTATTAACAACCCAACAACCCTGGTTTCTGACACTGTAATAAAAATCAGTTATGCCATTCTAGGTCATCAAAATAGGTTTCCTTCTTCTGCACGTATACTGACTTGGACTTGTCATCTCAGTTGTAGGACAGAAGACATTATTTAACATCTCAGAGAATGCAGCAAATATGGGCAGAAAAGAGGGAAGAGGTGGAAGATAGAAAGAGAGGGTAAACAAACACCATTTTACTAAATACTTTTCAGAAGGTTCTGTGATGCAGATGTGGGTTGAATTGAAACTGGTCTTAATTTTAGCATGTGGTTGAGGTTGAAAGTGATTTTCATACATGGTGCTGTGTTTCTCTCTGTCATCATATTATTATTTATTGATTTTAATTTACTTCTCCTTTCCAGAGCTAGTGGAGCTTTCCAGAGCTTTCCCTTGCCTGATTGCCGATTTATACATGGCCTGCTTCTCCCTTTTGTTTTTACAATGTGCTTTTAAAAAAGAATGAATAAAGGCAGCTCTGCACATCTTTTCTTATCTTCCTTCTAGAAACAAATATGTCCAAAAGCTTGGCAACAGTAGTCCAAGGATAAATCACCTTGTTTTACAGGACTTTGCAGAACCAGCTGCCTACTAATGGTCAGTTTGATAGAACCATTAATGGGAAAATCCCATGTACTACCAAGAATTCAGGAAAACTTTTTCATCAGATATGGTGCAGAGTGCATTTTATTGCAAAATATCTTTGTCCTTAATGAAGCAGGGACAATATTGCAAACAACTGGTATTCCAATTGCTAATAAAAAATTGTCTTGGGGATCAAAATCAGAGATAAATATGTAGGTATTCATATTAACCAGCTTCTGGCAGCATAACAGAGTTGCCACAAACAACATCAAACTCAGTATATCCAGGGAACCTGTGTCAAGAAAATAATTCCATTTTAAAATAGCAGATATCACATCTTCATCACTGAAATGTCAAAATATTTGAACTAAGAAAATGTAAATATTAATGGATTAAACTAACCTGCCAAGTTGCAGTTGGAGAGCATTCCAAGTAGGAAGATGGTGAGTTTCACCAAAAAGTAAAGGCTTGAATTATGGACTTTTAAAAATTTATTTGTTCAAAACTGAAGTTTTGTGCCATGTGTAATCAATTTCTGGTTGTCTTTCATTGCGCTAAAGTACTAGGAAAATTTCTGTCAGCATTAAGATTAACCTGAAGAATTTATACACATGGATATTTATTCTTAAATAACTACTTTTGATTAATTGCTTTCAATTATCTTCCTGTGTAGGTGCTCTTATAGGAAATATGTGTCTAATTTTGGATGTGGTAGCTATTACACACACTTTACATGTCTCACCACAGTATAGATTAACTTTCTGTGTAGACAAAAGTATATTTTCTATTTTATAACCCTTTAAAGGTAAACTTAATGTCAAAATCATAATCCTTGAAGGGCCTAGTAATATCCACCACAAGAGATGGAGCTGGAAGAAACAGAAAATCTTTGGTGTGCACATGCTCTTCGTTAGATCTCAGATGCCTGAAAGCTTTCCTGTATTTGCTTTCCCTACAAACTTTATAATGCTTTTTGCCTTAAAATGACAGGTACAGAACCACTGCTATGTATAAACTCATTTCTTTTCTTCTCATTATTATGAAAAAAATAACCTCATGTTAGAAGACAATGGTGTTTGTTAAGTGACATTTATCTTATTTTGCTTGTAAATTATATTTAATTTCTATACAAAAACCTTGTATCTTTTTATTGGATAAAAAAACTGTTTGTGCTTAATAATATGCTTCTTTATGGTTTGAAGACTCTGATGTTTAGCCTTTGAAAGTTTCTGAACACGTTACTTTCCACTGTCAGTTATTTTTTCCTTTTACTGTACCTTGCAAGAGCCATGACAAAGTAATGATTCAGTGTAGGAGATATAAACCAGATTTAAATACTTAGCATTTTACTTCAGGCATCTG